CGCACTGGCGTTTTACTCCTTCCACTTCTCACACAGAGACGCTTCTGTCCGTCCGTGTGACTACGGGCGCTCGGCCGAGTTCGGCGCACCGAGCGAAAGAGAGAATGTCATTCCCTTGCTCGGTGCGCCGAACTCGGCCGAGGGAGCGTAGTCACACAGACAAACAGAAGTATCTCGGTATGAGAAATGGAAGGAGTAAAACGCCAGTGCGTCCGGGCAAGATTTTCCAGCTCTGAGTAGAACAGGCTTTAGCAGTGAATTTCGGATAGCAGTCGAAGACGGAGCAATCTGACGCGTGAACGCCGATTGTTTGCAGCGTGCCGCTTGCGTGTCGCCGCCACGTGTCGTACGCCACCGAGAAATAAATATCTCGCGTTTCTTCCCTTTAGAAATAATTTTAATTATAATTCAGTGCTATCTTTTCCACACCACCTGGCGGTAGATAGCATGGCGTGTTTTTTTTTAAGTGGTGTCCCCAGTAGGCCTAATCCACTGTTACAAATTAATGTAACAATTGTTCGAAGTGCCGTCCTCCCTCCCGTATACAAAGTTCGGCTCTTCGTACAATATTGCGCGTCGCACGATGTGCCATTTCCGGCGTGATGGTATTGAAGGCCGCAACAATAGCTTCACGTACTTCATTCTCTGTACCATCACGCCGATGTTCGATCAAATCTTTAACGTAGCCCCATAAGAAATAATCGAGCACGTTAAGATCAGGCGACCGTGCCGGCCAGATGATTGGGCCACCTCGACCCATCCACCTTTCCGGAAAACGCGCGTCTAAAAAATTACTTACTCGCCGGCTAAAATGCGTAGGAGCTCCATCTTGCTAGAAAATCAACTCTGCCCGTGCGTGGAGAAGGACATCTTCGAAGAGCACTGGGAGTTGATTCTCTATGAAGTCCGCGTAAATTTTGCCATTGAACTGTGGCGGGAGAAAATACGGACCGATCTGAAAATTGTAAATGGGAACGTTACGAAACTGCTGCAGAAAAAATAACTGTTTCAATAAAACGACTACTTACCACTCGGTTCGCTGTTACTCCGGCCCATACGTTAATGGCCCAACGATATTGAAAAGCGCCTTCTCGAACGGCGTACGGATTTTCTTCCTGCCAAAGCAGGAAATTCCGCGAATTAAATACGCCGTTCGGTGTGAAGGTGGCCTCGTCCGTCCACAGGATGCGATCGGGGAAAAAAATATTCCGCCGATACTGCGCGAGGAAACCTACGTATATTAAAGGATGATTAATAGAAACATATTCAACACAGTCAAATAAATAACAAATAAATGTTACGGAAATACCTTCACAAAAGAAGACGCGCCGTTGTTCGTCGCCAGAGAGTAACTGTTGTACCCGTTGATGATGAAACGGGCGCAATCCATTCTCCCGTAGCGTACGATGCACCAGTCGTCGTGATAGACGTAGTGCAGCAGCTACACGACGCACGCTGTTTCCAGGATTTCTTTCGAATTCCTGTAAAATCCTCTCTTCATAATGGACGTGGCGATATCCAATCCCTCCAGCGGGTCGTATAGTCGGCAGGAGAAGTCCGGTTTCCCTCAAGCAACACACCGCTGAATGACACAGCGCGAAGGATGTCGTTCACGCTCGGGAAATCGTTCCGCATAAAGGCGTTCGGCGGCACGTAAATTTTCTCCAGCCATACCGTATGTGATAACCATATCGGTATATTCATGTATGGTAAATTTGGCCATTGTGTTTGGATAAACAGCACGAGTTGTTCATACTGAACTGTATCGTGCACTGAAGCTGTGGGTCCTGACATAAACAATTAACGATCGACGAAATTTTTTCGCGTGATCCGCGTCACGATAACAACGAAGGTGACGCGAGAAATAAAACAATCTTCGTCGATCGTATATTTAAAAAAATGTACTTATATATTCCTAGTTTTCTCATGTTTCATAAACTACTACGTATCGAAGATTGTCAAATACACTCCAAACTTTCGTGAAATCCTCCAGCGATAATTTCGATCCCAAGCAGTATACAATATTACTAGTCACCCATCCATGTCCTGACCGCACTAAACTGTTGCTTATTAACCTGACGATCAAGCGCGCACGCAGTGACACTGATGACTCCAACGATTTTCTTACAATTCATGCTTATATAAAGTATTCTTATAATGTTCACAGTACATTATAATATACTTAGCAAACATCAACTAATAGTTATATTTAATTTTTACTTAGTGTTTGTTGGATAATTTGCTGATAGATATTGAAACAACTCTTATAGAAATATCATACTAAGAATCATTGATAATTACTTATTTTCAGTATTAAAAATACTGGATAATAAGTAATTATCAATGATTCTTAGTATGATATTTCTATAAGGGAATGCAACAACATTCGATATGCGATAAATATTGATGTAATGTAGTGAACCAGTGATAATTATTTTTAGATTTTTAACAAAATGTTATAATGATTAATCCAAACAAAAAAAAAATTAAAAAATCCAAGAAAATCCAAATTAAACAAATCGAAATACTAAATTTTAAAAGAAACTTTTAAAAAATACTATTTCTGTAAGGGAAGGGGACTTCAAATGACGGCGTAATAACGTTTTAATGATGTCTATAATGTCAAAGAAATTGATATGTCAATTGATGTCACCATTCTAT